AACTAAAGGTGACATAGATACTTTATTATGGTATAGTATTTAAATATATGCCTGAGAAACACATAATATTAGCCCTTTAAAATATAAATGAAATACTGCCAAACTGGTGACAATTCCTCTTTTATCCACAATTTTTTCTAAAGTTGTTGCATCATTTTCTCTTTTCACTCCATTTTGTTCATTTTTATTCTTAAGAACTTTTAAATCACGGTGGAGAAACGTGGAACTGCTACTGCATGCTACTCCACAGGTTTTTTGCTAGCTTACCTTGTTTAGCTGCAGTCTTTTAGCTGWTGGGGCATTGTATGGACACCTTCTTCAGTTTTTAGATGCTTCATTTCAGTGTAACAGCATCCYAAATCAGTAATTGGTTTCATGTTTACCCTACGATGCTGGACCAGTCCAGCAAGCTAGCGCTCCATCGCTTAAACGTGCCGACAAGAGGGAAAAGTAAACATCAACGCAAGCTATTTTTTTAGTGGGCATTTGTCATCAGCTTGAAGCTTTTATTTTGAAGGTATCTCTTAGCTTTCCCGGTGTTGTTTAGCTGAAAGGTGCTAGCTTAATTTATCAGCAAATTATCAACCGCTTGCAGTTAATAACCAGATAAATTATCATTATAATATAAGATGTTTTCTATTGATATTGAACATGTGTTTATTGTGATATACTGTATATCGTTATTAAATTATCACCCAGCCTTAGGTAATCGGTCCATCATTAACTGGTCATAATAATCAAAGACTAAGCTTGGCAAAATGAAGCTGCATCATAGACCTACACACTAAGCTGATGACAGCTAGCTTTAAGGATTAACACATGGTAGTTCTCATCCATCACTCGTGTATTTAGCTGTTTATGAATACAGCTGTACGCCTTTGTCCATCGTTTGGAGACAGTTTTGTTTTGTGAACAGATAAAAATATTTGCCCTCCAACTATTCAGAATTACTATTTTTTTCTATATGCTTCATAAAATCCAACATAAAATCCACTCAAAGCTCAGTGTTGATGGAAATCTATCTAGAGGGTGTGTCACCTGCTGTTCAATACCTATCTCTGATTGGTTTGATTGACAAGTGGCGTCATGTCAGAGCTCCCTCTCCCTTTTCTCTATACACCAACATGTTTCCAACTGTTAACAGACAAGAGGTAGGGTCACACCTGTGYGGTGGCAGTGAGATTAATCTGCAGGTGAATTTATCTGTAATTTCACTGTGCTCTGTACAATGACAATAATCTATCTAATCTAATCTACATAATCAAAACATCCCAGAACTCCACATTCTCCCTGCATGGGAAGAGAATCTTCAGCTACAGAATGAAAGGCTTTGTAGTCTTAGTGTATGTAAATAATAACTTTCTCACCAATCTGACATTTTGCAAACATGATATTAAATGGTTTTGTGTTTTTGTATACAGTGAATGTAAATTTCTTTTTTCAACTTTAGTTATCAAAACCAGCTGTAGCTGCTTAGCTAAGTCTAAAAATGTGTTTTAAAATTATGTTTAATCCCACATTGCTGAAATTAGGGATGCAGTTTGGAATTTGTGCTAAATGTTGGACCTTTTTACCTTTGTGTTTTTGTGCAGGAGCAGTCCTCACCCATTCATCACCGCCCTGGAGAACCGAGCGGACTGCTGGCCAGCTTTGCTGCTGGAGATTGATGACTTTACCCGACATGCTGTCGACAGGCAAGCTTGGCCCCAGCAGAGGCCTTGAACCTATCTGCTAATCACTCAAAGCTTTACAGCATCAGAACATCTAAAGCCACACAGTACACAGTTACTGCAGGAGGTATAATCAAGCKCAGATGTAGTCAAAAGAAAGTATGCTCTTATTTATTTTGGATTTATTTGGTGGATGAAGATATGATAAAAATTTAGTTCCAATATTTGTGTCTGGACTTTGACTGACCCTTTGCAACACTTGAAATCCTTTTTTTTTCAGCCATCTTGTTGTCGATTATCTGGTGTTTTAGACCCAATTTGGTAGAAGCTTCAGCTGTCAAACWGATGCTAATTTCATGRTTGACTCAGTGACTGCAAGAACCCCAGGTTTACCCTCCACTACCGTGCTGACAGTACCCACGTGTAAAGAAATACTGCACACCATACAGCAATGTTCACTAGAGTAACATGCCAAACCATTTCATTGATTGTTGGTGACAAAATTCAAACTCCAGCTAAAGAGGCTGTAAGAAGATGAATTTAGGACACTACTAGTAAAAACTAAAGCAAAATCTAATCTCAGGCTYAGGCAGACAGCACCCCACCTCTGAYGTGGCTTTGTGCCACAAGGCGAGGTAGTAACAGAGCTGAAACATGCTAAAAGCCAGGCAGGGGTTGAGTAGCTGCCTCTGAGAAGCACATCGACAGAACATGTGCAGACTCACTTTGTCACAAGCAGCAAAAATGTAATATTTCCACCGTTTGTGTATTTGTTGTAATTTTTCCTAAATGAGTCAGATGAAGTGTTGGCTTCATATAAAGCTCATGAATATTTTTTCTCGAACGTATTACAGGAAAAAACCATCCTACATCACCATGTTGGCTCCCTTCCTTCGGTACCTGTACTGTGAACCCCAGCGGCTGTCCCAGCATGCACTTCTTCGACAGAGTCTCCTTTGGGTGCTGCTCACAGAGTCTGGAGCTGGAGTGCCGTCGGCCTCAGCTGACAACCTGCTGCTCTGCCTTTGTCAGCTGGTTCCACATGTGCAGGTGACACACTGACATCCTTTTGTGTAAATCATCAGTGCTCCACCTGACACAATCATCAGTTTGAAGCAAATTAGTGAAAATGTAGTTTTTTATCAGTTTATAAATGCTAATGTTAGCTGGAATTGCTTAATTTAGCATTTTTTAAAACATATAAATTATTGTGAAAATAGGATTTGTTATTTTCTTACAGGCTTTTCCCCAAACTTCAGTACAATAAATTAAATGTGAAGCAATCATTGTATTACACAGTATATACAGAGGTTTATAGTTTAAAAACTTTCTTACTTTATACAGCAATGCAATTGGTTTAACTATTTTTAATCTTAAGTAGTTTATATGAGATTTCTTTGTCAGCTTTTCAACAATGATGGCACCCAAAAAAATTATTTTACTGACTCTACAAATTTCAGTATCATCAGTACAGAATGGATCTTTAATAGTTTTATTTCTGTTACTAAATATCATATAATTAGTTTTATCCAAATTCAGTGATAATTTATTCAGTTTAAACCAAGTTTTATACTTTCTTAAATTATGTCTCTATCACCTCCTGCGTCTGTTCAATACTTCCACCAGAATAAAAAAAGTGTTGTGTCATTGGTAAACTGAATACAATTTAAAAGCTTCGACACATTAAACACATCATTCACATATAAAATAAACAGTTCTGGTCCAAGCGCAGAACCCTGAGGAACTCCACATCTAATTTTACGTAATTCACATCTTACATTGTTTAATTGAACAAACTGTTTCCTGTTACTCAAATAACTAGTTACCCACTATAGTGCTAATCCTCTAATGCCATATTTATTCTGCTTTTCAATAAGGATGTTAAATAGTCGATAGTGTCAAAATGAAATGAAACCAACAGGTTTTCAAGAAAAATTGAATGATGAGCAATTGTAGAAATCACTCAGCCAGACTCCATATTGGTGAAATGAGTTATTACAATAACAAACATTAAAATAATGTGCAGATATATTATGGTTTTTGTTTCCAGTGCACAGCTCTTTGAAGATCTTGTGCTTGAGGAAAAACATGGAAATGTCAGGAGCAGAGACAAAATGCAAACTCCAAAAAAAGTGGCTGGAAGAAGAGGAATTTAGAGTACGTCTTCAGCCTTTTGGTGGTCACCATGTTGGARGATTTGTATAAAAACAAGAAACAATTTAAGCTTGGTCTGAATGGACTGAGTCAGAGGAGGGGGTTAAGTTAGCCCATCTTAGGTTCTCCTTTGTGCCATGAGGTGAGGTAGTAGCAAAGCTGAAACGGTCCACAYGTTGAAGTGTGATGATACAAGGTCTGTACCAGGCGCCCAGTCATGAGATTAAACAACAAAACCAGATTTATTACTGAGGCAAGATCCATGATGATGCACAGCGACTGTGTATCCAGTTAAAAACTTTAGTTAACCACCTGGACAACTACTAAACTGAGTTCATCCATTAAGTCTTTAAAACTATATGAGGCAAACATCCATCACTCTGAGTGGAACAGTTGATCCTTTCACTGTCAATGGCAATAAAATGTAAAAAATGTCAACATGAGCAAGAAATTAGATTGAATGTCTGCAAAAGCTCTCATAGGAGGCGTTGGTTGGACCATTTTCACCCATCATTTGGTTTTTTGTTTGTTTTTTGTTAAGTTTTAGTCCAGTTTTTGTTATATTTGTTGATGATGATTATGGTTGAACTGTTGGCACAGACGTGTCTCTGTCCCTCAGCTGGACAGTGTGGAGGCAGTCTTAGAACTGTGTGGGTTTGTGGACGCCCTGATTCGAGGTCTCCTCGGGGTTCCCAGAGAGTCCTGGACGAGCGAAAGAGTCGGGCTGCTGCTGCAGCTGCTCTGTGCGTGTCAGCGATGCCTCAGGCTGAACGGAGACTGTCGACCGCTCCTCACTCTGATGCAGAAGCTCCTGCCTGCCTGCCAACAGGTCACACATCATCACACACAGACTCAACCTCACACTCTCTGGAGACAAACTTATGGATGGTGTGAATGTTTTGCAGGACCTGCCAGTGGATGAGCTGATGATGGGTGTGGCCCTGCTCCTTCTGGAGGCCCCTGCTGCTCAGCAAGGCAGCTTCCTCAGTCTAGGTAGAAGGGAATTTATATCTGGTGCTAAAATAAACTCTACATGAGCCTAGAGACAGATCATACACTGTGACCAGCAGGGAGGGAGAGATGAAGGACAAGGAAACAAGGAGGGAACAGAAGGAAGGAAAGAAAAAAGGGAAGAAAGTGGTCTGGGAAGGGAAAAGTAAGACAGACGGGGAAGGAAGGAAGGAAGGAAGGAAGGAAGGAAGGAAGGAAGGAAGGAAGGAAGGAAG